TGTATGATTTTGCTTGTAGGTTTTTCAATGACTGTATTATTAGGTTGGTGCAAAAGCAATTTCGGTTTTGCTATTAAAAAGGTAAAAACTAGGCCGGGCGCGGTGGCTCATGCCTGTAATCCCAGCACTTTTGGAGGCTGAGGTGGGAGGATCACCTGAAGTCAGGAGTTCAAGATCAGCCTGGCCAATATGGTGAAATCCCGTCTTTACTAAAAATACAAAAATTAGCTGGGCATGGTTGCGGGCACCTGTAATCCCAGCTACTCGGGAGGCTGAGGCAGGAGAATCAATTGAACCTGGGAGGCGAAGGTTGCAATGAGAGGAGATTGCACCCCTGCACTCCAGCCTGGGGAACAAGAGTGAAACTCCTTCTCAAAAAAAGAAAAAAAAAAGGTGAAAACCGCAATTACTTTTGCACCAACCTCATATTTAAGCATCTTCCATGTCTTCATAAACCTGTCATGATGGATAAATTCAAGGTGGTCTGTCTGGGAAAAGGAATATTGCTCAGCCATCTAAAGGAATGAGGCTCTGACATAGGCCACAACCTGGACGAACCCTGAGGACCTCGCGGCCAGGGAGAGACACCAGACATAAAAGGCCACACGGTGCATGTCCCCATTTCTGTGAACTGCGAGGGACAGGCGAATCCACAGACAGGAAGAGGATTTGTGCTGGCCTGTGGCTGGGGAGGGGCAGAGAGTGACTGCTGATGGAGATGGGACTTCTTTGGAGTGATGACTGTTCTGGAACTACATAGAGGGATGGTTGTACAACTCCTAAATTTAACGTGTTATTTTATTTTATTCTGAGATGGGAGTCTCGCTCTGTCACCAGGCTGGAGTGCAGTGGCGCAATCTCGGCTCACTGCAACCTCCACTTCCTGGGCTCCAGCAATTCTCCTGCCTCAGCCTCCCAAGCAGCTGGGAGGCCACAAGCACACCCGGCTAATTTTTGTATTTTTAATAGAGACAGGGTTTTGCGATGTTGGTCAGGCTGCTCTCGAGCTGTTGACTTCAGGTGATCCACCAGCCTTGGCCTCCGGACGTGCTGGGCCTGCAGGCGGGAGCCACCGCGCCTAACCCGCTTTTCTTAATCTTGATGAATCTGAGGCGATAAATCATCAGTAAACACCTTTTCCTGTATTACCTGTGCATGTCCTGGGTCCATTGGTTTATTGGGATATGAGTGTTTTCCATTTAGTTATTTATTTGAGGCGGGGTCTTGCTCTGTTGCCCAGGTTGGAGTGCAGTGGTGTGATCACAGCTCTCTGCAGCCCTGACCTCCCAGGCTTAGGTGATCCTCCTGCCTCAGCCTCTCCAGTAGCTGGGATTACAGGTGCACACCACCATGCCTGGCTAATTTTTGTATTTTTTTGTAGAGATGGGGTTTCGTTATTTTGCCCAGGCCGGACTCAAACTCCTGGCCTGTAGCAATCCACCTGCCTCAGCCTCCCAAAGTGCTGGGATGACAGGTGTGAGCCACTATGCCCAGCCTTTTTTTTAAGAGACAGGGTCTTGCTCTGTTGCCCAGAGTGCAGTGGTGGGGTCATAGCTCACTGCGGCTTCAGCCTCCCAAGCTCAGGCAACTCCCAGG